GCTGGCGACAGGTGTTGCAAAGGGCTGCGTGTGTGTGCGGAACCACGGTGCCAACAGGCACACTCCCTGCAGGACCATAAGTGACGGTCACCAGGGCTGACCCCACGGGCCTGGACAGGTCTACATGTGGGTCAGCTGTGGATGCTCGAATTATTTGCAGGGTCAGCCGTTCTTTGCTCCACTGCTAAGCAGCAGGGGCTGCAAAATAGCATTGCCATTGACAAGCTGCAAAAACCAGGAGCTAGGACCAGCATCATTCGCTTGGACTTGACGCGAGAGGCTGATTGTTCACTCGTTGACAGCTGGCTCGAATCACCACTCTTGGTTTGGGTGCACTTGGCGCCTGTGTGTGGCACAGCAAGCCGCGCACGGGACATCAGAGTTTTGCCTACAGATCCAGCACCCCTGCGCAGTTGTGAACACCCAGATGGTTTACCAAACTTAGATGGGCGTGATTTGTTCAGGGTGCGTTTAGCCAACAAGCTTTTTGATTTTGCATGTAAGGTCTTTGCCAAAGCCACGGAACGTGGGATCTTGGTGACCATGGAAAACCCGAAGAATTCATACTTTTGGAGCACCAGTTTTTTCGTTCATTTGCAGTCCTCTTTTGAAATGCACACTGCAGATTTTCAGGTTTGCGTGTATGGAGGCACACGTGACAAGTGGACTAGATTCGTGGCGAACTTTCCTGAAGTTGGCCAACTTAGCATCGCTTGTGATAAGACCCACAGTCATGCACCCTGGCGATACGCACAGGATGCCCAAGGAAAGCGAGTGTGGGCTACCAGCCTCGAAAGTGAATACACCCGCCTATGTATTGCCACGGTTCAGGTGGTGCTTCACAAAGCTCAGTCCTTAGGTCTCACGCTCCTTCCTCAATCTCTGAAGGAAATTCAGGCACATCCGTTGATGCAAAACCAGCAGTCTCGCATTGCGATCGGAAAGCAGCCATTTCGCAAAAGAGTACCACCAGTCATTCCCGATTTTGACTCTGTAGTTGTTGCTGCGCTTTCGGACAAGTCGCAGGTTCCTTTTCCGCTTCTTGGTAAGGTGCATTATGAACTTCAACTCCTGAGTGTCGAACTGCAACCACTTGTAATCCCAGTTAATTCACGCCTTTTGCGATTTTTCGCTGCCTTTGAGCCCTCCGCCAAGGGGGGTGGAAGCAAGGCCTCAGAGGCGTCAGGAGACAGGGATCTGGAACAAGCAGTTTCGCGCTCGGGTGCTGACCTCAGTCAATTTCCTTTTAGGGCGGTTTTTGGATTGCCTTGGAGTGCTGAAAACTTCATCAACAAAGCCAGAGGGGCGGGCCACCCGGCTCTCCTCGACATGCGCATTCCTGCTGACCTTGAAGTGGCCATTGACAAGAACACCTCGTGGACAGTCGAACAGATTTCTAAGTACCGGTCGGATTGGTGTCGGCGCTGGCTGAAAAGAGCGAAAGAGTTGGAGTCCGAAGAGCTTAGGGACCGAGAGAATCGCCCTGATCATGTGAAACACAGCACTCAGAGCAAACGAATCCTGGTCACCAGGGAGATTCTGGAAAGCATTGGTTATGAGGATGTGCAAGCTCTGGATTTATTGAAGCATGGGTCTACTCTTGCGGGTAGCATTGAGAGCTGCAACATTTTTGAGAACCAGTTCAAACCGTGTCTACTCACTCTGGAACAGCTGGAACAAGGAGCCGCTCGTAGGAACCAAGCCATCCTTGCCATGACTGTGAGCTCGGGAGATGAAACGGTTGACAGACAAGTTCTTGAGGAGACAAGAGTCGAGCTAGAACGTGGCTGGGCTCGCGGTCCTTTCAAGCTCGAAGATTTGCCGGATGACTGTGTTATTTCTAGGAGATTTCCCCTAGCGCAGTCCAACAAAACTAGGATGATCGATGATTTTAGCATTTCCGGAGTAAACGACTCGTGCACGATTCATTCGAAGATTGACCTCCACATGATTGACGCTCTGGGGGCAGTGGTTCGGAAGTATTTTCAGCGCTGCAGTGGGGCAAAAGCTGATAGTCGACTCTGGGCCAAGACCTTTGACCTCAAGAGTGCTTACCGACAAGTGCCGATACGAAGTGATCATCTGAAATACGCCTTCTTCAGCATCTACAATCCTGAGTCTCAGGGAGTTGAAATCTACCAGCTGCTGACGTTGCCTTTTGGGGCAACTCACTCGGTTTATTCCTTCCTCCGACTGGCCCGCATGATTCACACTGCTGCAGCAAAGGCCCTTTATGTACTGAACACCAACTTCTATGACGATTTTGTCCTCTTGTCAAACCCTGAAGCGAGCAAGTCGGCGAACCTGTCCATGGAGGTTTTGTTCCTGCTGACAGGCTGGGAATTTGCTAAGGAGGGCAAAAAGTCAACTTCCTTTGGTGAGCTGTGCTCGGCCCTCGGGGTCACATTTGACCTGAGCAAGTCTGAATCGCGGATTGCCAGAATCTACAATACAGAACAGAGGCGAGTTGACCTCATAAGCAAGCTTGAGGAAGTCTTGAAGTGTGGTGAACTGTCTAAACACGACTCGCTAGTTCTTCGCGGCCGCCTGGGATTTGCTGACAGCTTTTTGCATGGCAGGTTGGGTGGACTCCTGCTGAAGAAACTTGTGGAACATGCTTACTCCCGCCAGAAGACACTTGATCCCAGCACCAAGCAAGCGCTCGCAGCCATGAAGTTGCGACTGGAGCTTGGGCAGCCAGTTGAGATCTCGGACAAAGAGGCGGATCAATGGTTCATTTACACTGATGCTGCCTATGAACAATCCAGCAAGGATGGTGGCTTGGGAGCAGTAGTCCTGGATTGTGAAGGCACATGCAAAGCATGGTTTGGCATCGGCTTGGATCCGGAGCACTGCAAGTGCTTTGGCAGTGGTTCAAAGGATTCGATCATCTATGAGCTGGAACTACTAGCAGCAGTGCTGGCTTTCTGGGTTTGGGATGATAGACTCTCAAGCTGCCTTGTCACCTGGTTTGGAGATAACGATAGTGTTCGTTTTTCTCTCATCCGTGGATCTGGCACAGGTTGTTGGGGAGAGGCCTTGATGGAGTTTTATCTTCGACAGGAAGTAAAGCTTAACACTCAGACTTGGTTTGCCCGTGTTCCCACAGAGGCCAACGTCAGTGATTGGCCCTCACGCCTATGTAGGCATGAGCTCTTGAATGATGAAACGGATTGCTCAGTTGCTGCACGTCACAAATTTCAGAGCTTGTGTGACTTTGTGAATGAACATGTCGGGTTGCACGAAGAAGAAAGGGGGAGAGCCAATCGTACAACTCCCAGTCGAAAAAGGAGCGATGTTTCATGAATTGTATGCAAGACACCAAGCACGTGGAAGACGACAGAACTCGTTGAAAACGATTGTGTTGTTATTTACGTGTTTTAGAATCGGGTGGCTTGCTTTAGAGTTTCATCTTTGAAGTCCGTTACATTTGAAAGTTCAAGGGAGGGTAGCGGTGGGTGCCACTTCATCGTGGCATTCGTGCTTAAACAAGCCCACCCACCCTCACCGTGGTATTCATGATCGCAAGACACGATCTCACTTTGCAAGAAAGCTTCAACTTTTCGGCCAGACCCTGGGCCTGAGCCAATCGTACAACCCCCAGTCGAAAACGGAGCGATGTTTCATGAATTGTATGCAAGACACCAAGCACGTGGAAGACATGCTTTTGATGACTTGTGCAAATTTGTTGACCAACAGGCTCATCCGAGAAACAAAAGGTGGAGAAGAGCTCGGAGTTTCCTTGTAAACTTTGTCAAGACACCAAACACATTAGTGACGACTAGCTTCACTGAAAGTGACGAAATTGTCACAACAGTGTTTCTTCAAGAAAACTTAAGGTTTTTCTGGGCGTCTTGCACTTGAAAATTTTTGAATGTGACATTTTGATCTCAAAGGAGGGCGCGGTGAGCTTGAATAGACTAAAATGGTCACACCTTTCCAAAAAAAGTGGGGCACCTCAAGTTACCTCAGACCATACAAGCCAAACCCAGGGCTTGAAGAGCCCGGCTGACCCCCCATTGAAAAGGAGCGCAGCTTCCTTGTGAAGTTTGTCCATACACCAAACACATTAGTGACAAATTTGTTTTTTGCATTTGCTTTTCAGCAGATTAAATGATGTCAAATGGCTAGATAGTCACTTGCAAACTTTTGATTAACTGATGGTTCCAAAATGTAAAGCACTCCACCCCCATGTGTTCCCACTTTGGAATTCTTGCAAAGTTAGGTAGTAGTACTTGAAAACATAGCTATGGACCCAATATGTTGGTAGTTTTCTGGTGGTAGCATTTGTGTTGGAATACGCAAACACAATTTTGATTTATTTTTCCTTCGGCTTCTCGTTTTGAAACCACAGTCTGTGCAATCACGTGTCAAAGTCTAAGAAGAGGTTGGATTATTGAAAAAAACAACTTTTTGGACAAAATGTGCTCAGAGGTTGTGCTTTGGAAATAGGCAACCAAAAAAATTTAGATAAATTGTTTCATTCTTTTCAGAGAGAAAGGAACCTTTTCGGCCAGCACTTCACACAACACCATGTCGCATCTTGTAGATTCCATTGTGCCAAACAGCTGCGTGGCACCAAATCAGCCCCTAGCCAAAAAAGTCCTTGAAGGAAGTTCACTCGAAAAATTCAAGGCCCGGCCGCACTGTATAGTGGATTTTTTTGGGGTTGGTGAATTCGCGTAGAACCCTGTGTTCCCAAACGTCTCCCCAAACCACAGCCTGCCCTAAGCAGGTAAACATTCCCACAACCAACAGAACACACCAATCTGTTGTTCGAAGCAATATACTCATTGATCTACCAATTGCTCTTTCAGGTCATTATGTTTCCACCATTAGACCCATGGTGTTATATCATGACCCCTGCTATAATGTATTTTTTTGAGTCTGAGTCTGAGGGTTTTTGGCCGGGGCCGCAAGGGCCATTAAATTATGTTGAACACATTCAGTTTCAATTTTAAGTGCATGTACGTAAACATTTCGTTGCCGTTCTGGTTCAGACTTTGTTGCTTTGGGCTTGCCGACGGCCGATGCAGAACAAATGGGTTACATGGCTCTGTTTCTTCGTGTTCTTTTACTGGGTTCTTGTCAACATGCTTGTTGAAGAGCAGCTAGTTTCCTGCACTTGGCAACCTAAGGAAACGGCTGAAGCTTCCGCTGTGCTGTGCAACGAAGGTAAATGCGTCTTTGTTCTGACAGCGGATGCACATTACATTTGCGGAGCAGTCGACTCAGTGGAATGACTCTGTCGAAAGGTTTGCAAATGACTGTAAAACTTGAAGAGGAGATGCTTGTGCTGCTTCGTTCCAAGCACATTCACATGGCTCCACGAGCCATTGTTTTTGCCACTCCAGGACGTTGGCATAGACAGGATACCGATACCGTCCGAAGTATGGGGATGCAAGGGGGCTCAGTATGTGAACTGCAATGTTGACTAAGCACATGGTCACCACCAAAGGTGCAGCGCAGTGGCTCCACCCTGAAGATTTCGCACGGTTGTGTCATTGCTCGCAAGCAGCTCAGTTTGCACGGCTTTTTGTTTTAGACATGTTAGTAATACTCAAACAACTATTTGTTCATTGTAGGTTGTCCCTCGTTCTTCGCCGCGAACAGCGACGAATGTGGCAATACTACTGTCACCTGGAGGTGTGGTTTTCCAATGGAAGGGGGCTATTTCAATCTTTCTTTTGAACCTGGACCTTTTGCATGCTTGTGGCCAAAGTCTCTCAACCTCAGGTTCTTTATTTTGATGGTTCATCAATAGGACGGGTGCTCTGACTGGTTTCCTTTCTTTCAAATTTGAGGGAGGACCTCTTTGTATCGCCCCCGATTCAAGTCCTTGGCTCCCGACGGCAAAGTGAACCAGATGAACCAGAAGGAGATATTGTTCAAATTCAAATCTCATTTCATTTTCCATCACCCCGACCTATGTATTCTTTCAAGTCATCTCTTCACAATGCAGGTCATTTCGCTTCACTTTACCTACCGCATTTTTTGCCTTGCTTGTCTCTTTCACGCACACTTTCTGCATTTTGTGTGCATTTCATTTTTGTCGTCTAGATTCTCGTCACTCTGGTTCATCATCTACTACTGTCTTGCTTAATCTTGCTTTGCCACAGCAATTACTGTAAGGGAGATGGGAACATGACGAGAAACATGGCTACAGTAGTATCGTTCACACTGATCTACCCGTTTGATGACGTTCTTCATTGTCGCCAGCATCTCGCCTCTTTTCAGCCCATCCTGTATGGGTTGGCTCAGCTAACCTCCTTTGGGACACCTTGTCTATACTGTAATGCTTCCATGGTAAAGATTTTTGCTTCAACCTCCTATCTATGATAGCGGGTGCGTGGGCATGGGCCTCTGCATTTTTGGAGGTCGTGTTCTACTGCAAATTTGCAGTTTGCACACGCAGAAACTTGCGAGATTCTGAGCTCATGGTTGGGGAGGGTCGTCATTTGATCTGATGCTGCAGGGATATGCGCAGCGTGTAGACGCTCTCGACTTGGGCCACTTTTGGACTGGTCCAAAGGCGTGGTGCTTAGTGTGAGAGAGCGCGATGTGCAGGATGTGGTCCTTTTCACCAGGTGAATTGGCACCGATGCTTCCAGCTGAATAGGCTGACAAAGGCCGTGCTTTTTCTTTTCAAAGTAACAGTGTGACTATTGCTTGGCAATGTCGCCAGTCATCGCCGCATGCGTTCGCATACATTCGGGCTGACAGCTTAGCACAGGGCATTGGACTGTTCATTCGATTTTCACTTAGTATGTGTTTGCTGAGAATTCTAGGTTGGGGATGAGGACCTCAGAATACCTGCAAAATGTGATGATGGCACTGTCCTCAAATCAGAGTTTCTGCAACCATATAACTGCAACAGATGTGCCTTCAAGTCAGGCAATGACAACGTTGCGTCTGCAACGCAGGTGGTCTAAGATATCTCATCCTCACACAATTCTTGCTGAAAATTGGTGCTAGGCATGGTTGTTCGACCATGGTTGGCGTCCTCGTTCCACTCTAGCAAAAGTTCTTTGGCAGATGCTTGAGTTTGACTCCAAGCTTTGGATGCTCAGTATGTTCAACCCCATATAGACGCATGTAGCTAGGCAAATGTGAAAACTGTTGAGATGGAACATTCGTGACATCGACGACTCAGGCCGTGCGATGCGCCCCATCGCTACAGGGACCTCATTGTGGGAAGGCCTGCCCCAGCAGCCAAGTCTTTTCACTTTACTGTACATACAGCTGCATAGATGAAGTTCACAGTTTCTGACCGTGCAAACTACTCTAAAATTCTAAGCATTATATAATTACAGTTTATAATATATCAACCTTCTGAAGCTTTGGGCACTTGCTTCAAGACATGTGCACTTTTATCTCCATGTGTAAACATGCAAACACTTTGCGGCTTTTTGCGGCTTTTGCGGGCGTGAGGCTGACCCTTGCGTCACTACAGTAATGTGTGTGAAGAACGTTGATGTCCCTCATGGCCAACGGGTACTGGTTGTTTTTTGCCACTAGAATGTAAAGCAGGGGTGACGTGGTGTGTGGAGATTCGCGATGACCTTTCTCGACCTTTCAGTGGCACGATTGTTGTTCTTCAGTGGAGTCATCAAAGCATCATTCAGAGTAAAGGGCGCACGAACAGGTCTGCTGATTTTCCGGACATGTACGTAGATCATGGCAATCTGATGCCAACCGAATCATGTATGTCCGCTGCGAGCTCCCGGCGCTGGATTGCAAGTGCAGTGTCCAGGCACTGCATCAGAGAGGATCTGGGTGGGACCTGGATCATCAGCCAGGTATTTGTTTTTTCCTGGTCAATCATGTTCAGGAGGTGGGTCGTCCTCTCTGCAAAAGGTGGCTACTGAGTGCCAGCAAGCGGAGTGTCACCCTGGACCCTGCACCATCGCACACTGCCGCGCAGTCATCATGAACCGGTGGACAAGACAGAGCTTGCGTGTGCTGCCTTCCCGCGCGACAATGTGACCTCACCCTGTGCATTTTGTCACAAGACCTTCAAGAAACGTCGTGCCTGCTTAGTCGCTTGGAATGTGGAAGTGTGCCAACTCCATCGGGGCTACTACTGATGCAGCGTCCGTGTCAGGCCACCCTTCACACAGATGAGAATCTACAACAGCACCTTTGATGGCGCCTCCTGCATGCGGAAAATGTACTTGCCACAGAGAGAGCACTTCGAGCGCAGGAAGTCGGTGAGATCAGGGCCGAGCCACCCTTGGTCCCACCTGCGAGCCGTTTCGAGGACCCCAAGTTCTGTCAAGTGGTGGCCGTGGACAGCGACTTCGGGGTCTTCACGCGGGCATGGTGCATGGCCACTGGGCAGTGGAACGGAATGGAATGGATAGAAGAGGCCATTGGAGAGCCACGGGGAAGCTGATTCTAGGAGTCGTTCGTGGTGTTCAAGGAACTTCGTGATGCTCAGTTGTCCCACACGCCAGGCTGTCTTTCGAACTGCAGCCGCTTGTAATCGACATAGGAAGTCGCATCAGCAGGAGACCGAGCAGCCTGAGAGCCCCACCAAAAGCACGATCAAAAGTTGCACGGACCTCAGACTCAAGTGTGTAAGCTTTAAAATGTCACAGGCAGAATAAGTGGACAACTTAAGTTCGTCGCTGGTCCGGAAACTATCGTGTCCGAACAAGCCCAACGGCGGGCAACAAATCGTGATGGTGAAAGCAGCGTAATTCTCGTTTGTGCGATGTGATGCATGCCTCATGATCTGGCGTTGCATCATGCTGCTGGCTCTTTGTAACTTGACAATGCCAGACATGGTGATGTCTGTGTTGAAAATGCCATAAGTCACCCTGCTGACATGTGCTGCTGCTTGCTTAAATAGTGGTCCGAACAAAGCCAGGTAGGCAGCCTCTTGAATGTGATCTAAAAGCAAATCTAACGAATCATGGCGCCAGCAGGAAACAACTTTGATCAGGGTTGGGGCCAGAGGCCTTCGGCGCCTTCACGTACCCATAACTTATATCTGAGACATCCCTGTAGGGCCACAAGAACTTCGGTCGAGAAGCAAGCTGCGTGGCAGCCGTCCGCGTACACATTGAGTCAATTGAGGTCCTTTTGAACCCACTGCGTAGAGGTTCGGGTGAGCCCTGTGAGTAGACACCGCATGGCAGCAGACCATAAAAATGCAACGGCCTTGTCTGGTTCCAATCCAAGCTTAGTGGGAACAACAGTTTCCATAACGCAACTAGAAGCCTGATGCCACTTCGTTAGCAAATCAATGAGCTGGGCAGGAAGGCTTTCAACACCAAGGCAGCGTGCGTGGCTTGAACAGGGCCGAGCGTATGCGTTCCAAACCGTTGGAACCTGGAACCCCACCATGCGCCACTACGTGCGTTCCTTTGGACCCACCTCCAGAAAGTCTTTGCTGGTCCGCATCGGAGCATTTAAGAGTCTCTCGACATGGCTGCCAGCCGGTTGGAGTGTGCAGTTGCCTTTGTGCCCACAATGAGTTTATTCTTCCGATTTTGGTTCTGGCCCACAACCTTCCAGCACCTTCCAGTGGGGAAACGGACGCAGCCGCTTTGGGAATCGTTTTTCACCTGGCTTCAGCTTTTGGTCCTTTGTGGCTGCATTGTTCTGGTCGGCTGACGACTGTGCTTGTTCCACGCGCGGTGTGTGGTGTTCGATCAGGGTGTCCACAAGGCCTTGAGAGAGGCGAAGCTTGAGATTTTTCCCGGTAATCCCGCGACCATCTATGATTGGCTGACCTCGAGGTTGATGAAGTGCAGCAGGGTGGAAAGTGGATCGTGAATCGGCCGGTCCTATTGCCAACTTTGAGATGATTGGCCTGTGTGACAGAAGTGCAAGGCTTGTAAGTCCCTTTGGTCTCCACAAGTGATCGGCACCTTCATGGCGTCAGTGCTGGAAGAGCCGTTTGGCTTGAAGCCGGGTTCCCTGTCAGAAGAATTCTGGCACCACTATAACCGCTAACCGCTTTTCTTCCTTGTTGCTTTCGACCTGACGCATTGAGCATCTCATGTTGCCTTCTGGGCAATCTTCCAAGACATTATCATCCACAAGGGCCGGGTGCTTGCCTTGTGGTCATGTCTATGACCTGTGAAGTGCTTTGTGTTTGCTTGATCAGATTGTGGCCCCTCTAGAGGCCTGTTGGAACTGGCTTCTTGAGCAGCAGTTTCGATAGAGAAATCGGCCGCCCAATCAATCAGGACACGCTGTCGTCTACAATCTTTCTACAATCTCTAGTGCCAATCTCGGCCTGCAGGCGCAGAAGGTACAGTTGATACACGCCCTTAGACATTCCAAACATTGGAGCTTACAAGAGCCCTTTGAGCGTCGGGGCGACCGCCGCTAGCAGCTACTTCAAACGCTCTCCTTGTGATTTTCCTTCTCCTGCTGCCTCCTGGTGAAGAGGATTTGCTGAGACAGTAGGTTGAGCGACTTCTGGCTCATGGACTGTGAGATTTGGAAGATTGAGTTTCTTCTATCTAATCGCCAGACCTCATTGCCGTTTCAAGCAGCTCCTCGGGCAACTGCAGGTCATTTCCCCCGAGCGCACTCCAAGCTCGACAAGCGAACTTGCGTTGAAACTTTTCTTTTCTTTGACGGTCCCGTATTGGACGATTCTGCCTTCCCTCTTCCTTCTCGGAGAAAACGCACTGTGTTTCGGGCAGTGACCTGACGCAGGATCTTCCTTCTTGAGCGCTATGCCTTTCGACGCGGTGATCTGGGAGGATCTCCTACATCCTGCGGCTCCTGCGAGGATCTGGTCCTAAGACTAATTGCTTTCGGTTTTGCTTGACCCTGCCCCGGGGGTAGGCCAACTTGGGGCCAAGTTCTGGCCATCTTGGGCCAAGTTGACGCCGAGATGTTCGGAAGATGTTGCTCTGAAACGTCCAACATGGCCGATTTTATGCGCTATTGAAAAGCATGTAAGACAGAGGGTTTGAGGCGACCTTTTAGGGGCCTGTGACTTTCAACAAACGCCCCCGCCCCCAAACTAAGAACACTACAGTATACGTGCTATTGGGCGATACTGCGGCGCAACGTGATCACGCTGCAACACCTTGTGCGTGGGCAAATTGAACCTTGAACATACTCTCGCCAACCCTCTTGACCTTGTTCGCTGTGTGTGCAGGCTGTATGGGATTCGTTACGTTCAACGTGCACGAAATTGTCTCCCAACGAATCCTGCCCTGCATGGTGACCCATTCGGGTTGGTTTGGTTCGGTTTTCGCCTGCTGCGTTCTCCTCCTCGCTTGGCGACCAATTCGGGTGATAGGTTTGGCTCGGCTTTTCCCCAACGCACTGAATCTGCATGCCTTGCGCTGCCCTGGTGACCGATTCGCAGCGACCGATCCGGCAACCGATTTGGACATCCTGACCGATTCTTTTGTTACTGTTGTTCTTGGTGACCGATTCGGTGTTCTTGGTCACCAATGCCTGGTTTGCGGAAATTATTGTGACCGATCTCGGTGTCCGATTCGGAGCTCATCCTCATCCTTTGACGCAAGGTGTTTTTGCAGCATGCATTTGGGGTTGACCCCTTGCCGCTATATACCTGGTCGGAAGGTGGAAAAAACCAAGCTTCGCACACTGGACTCACCTGAGATAAAGGTTTTGCTGCCCAATCAACAATGGATTTGCTTGTAATGGTCGAAGGAGTTCAGGGTCTTGAAATGGAACACAAAAACTGCTTCACCCCAGTCCCAGTATACCTTTTGCCGCCCTGTTCCTGTGTTCGCCCAGTCAGCTATGACATCGCCCACATTATAATCATAAGTATATATATGGTTTCCATCACAGAGCCACGAAAGCAGTCGCCACGCTCAAGCTTCTAGGCTCAAGTCTTCATGCAATGGGCCTGGCTGGTTGACCTAGCACGCGAGGCTAGGGTTTCTGGCCGGTGGGAGGCTGCAGTTGCAACTGCAGCGTGGCTTGGCTCCTCCTGGTTGGCATCTTGTGCTGCTGCTGCGGCGTCTGCCTGGGAGGAGCCCTGGGTTTTTTCGCGCGCCTCAGCTTCCTGCAGAAGAGCGCTTCGTTTCTTGGCTGCAGCGGCAATTGCTCAGGCTGCCCCTGCAACTGAACCAGCATCGGGCGTGAGCCTGAGGAGGCGCCTCGCCGAGTACCGGGAGTGAGGCCTGTGAGCCAGGAGCAAGAAGTCCATGACCTCGCTGTCACATGTGGGGGACTTGACTATCCGGATTTTGAGGATTTCCACTGGAGGGGAGGGTATTCCTTTACTGAGTTCTTTTTCCTTGGTTTCTGAACCGCTCCGTTCAGGTGGCCTGGACGCCTGGTTGGGAGGCAGATCTTTTGAGCTGCCGAACACCTGCTGATTTTGAGAGGTTGGATTTGTCCCCAGTTGAGCATTTGGCGCGGCGACTCCGCGCTACGCGGTCAGACGGCACACCGAGGGCCCGCTACAACTATACACCTGACGCGCCTCAGGCTAATCGGGTGTACATTGTGCTGCAAGGGGCGCCAGACAAGCCCGGTGGTTGGACTGAGGATTATTTGGCCTATCCGATCCTGAGGCTGTCAAGGGTTCTGGGGGTGTTCGCTTTGATCCCCGCTCCACCCCAACGAGTTCCTTGTTCTTCGCAGAAAAGATCTGGTATCCCCGGAGGATGCATTGCTTCACTCGCAAACATCCATGTTCATTTTCGTTCGCAACCCCAAGACGTCCCGCTTAGCGTGCTCGGATAGACGACGCATCCATTGTTTTCCTTGCACGTTGTTCATTTGGAACCTTAGCCCTGGAAGAGCAGTTGTTCCCAGCGTCCACTGCCGTGTTCCGGCGGAAGTGGAATGTTCCGGCGGAAGTGGAACGCCGTGTTAGATCACCTTGGCGTTCCTAGAAGGCAGTCAGAGCGGAGCCGCTCCAGGCACTTTACGTGGCTCAGGCGCCACGCATGAGTACATCTTGACTTCAGACATTTCCAAAAGGTCGTTGGGCAAAAGTTCGCACCTTGGAGTACTACATCCAGGAGGTTGCAGCACAGCTTTTTCTGTTCAACCTCCCCTCCAAGGCTAGACACATCATTGCCCTCCTAGATGCCGATCTCTGTTGAAGCGGATGTTTCCTTCAGAAGTGGCACACTATGCACAGCAGAAATGAGGGAGTGCAGGAAGCCCTCGTTGTTGGTTGAATACACCAGCAGTCGGCTGCTTCAATAATAATAGTTTTTGGCACCCTACACTGGTCGTATAAGTTGAGCATTGGTTGACAGAGCTTCCACCAGCATTGTTGCAGCAG